CGCCTCTAAAGCCGTATTATAAGCTCATCTAAATAAGCTAGGTTTGACAAAACAAATGACTATTTTACCTATGCGATCTTTGTAAAAATTTTATCACAAAACAAAAGCTATAAAAAGTCAGTACAACTTATAAGCTAAAAAAAAGCCCTCCCAAACATCCCTTTAGAATTTAACCCTTCTTTCTAGGGGCTCTAAATATGTCAGGTCAGGATAACATTTATGTTATCTATAAACCCAAACCCAATGAGGAAAGTAGCTATAGATTTGACACGTGTAGATAGTGAAGATTTCGTAAACTTAAATGGACTGCAAGCTCTATTCACCAACTTTTTTCTCATTAGGATTTACTTTGAGATGTGTGTTGATGCGTGAAACACATCAAGGCCATCTTTTCTCAAGATCCATCATACAACACATATCTCAACACAAATCCTAGTGCATAAGCTTGCTAAGAAGAGCCCCTACTTTACTAAGTTCACTAGAGCTTTACTAAATGTATGCGTGCGGGTGTATTCAGATTGTTTCTCTTCTTAAAAAGATTTAAGCTAGTAGTTGAAATTAGTCTTCACCGTGATAGTCCAAATTCAATGAAAATGTTCTATGCTTAAAAAAGATCTAAGGGCTAAAAACTTGGTGGACAGAGCTCTTACTCAAGTTTACAAGAGCTTTACTAGATATGCGTGTGTGTGTGTATTCAGACTGTTTTTCTTCTAAAATAGATTGAAGCTAGTAGTTGAAATTATTTTTCATCACAATAGTTCAAATCTAATGACATGTTCTATGCTTATATATTTCTTTCGCTTTTGCCCGCACTCTAAATGATTTTCTACCAAATAAAAACTTAATATAGTGATTGTTAGACCACTGTCAAGTTTTGTTATACATATAATTCCAAGTGGAACGTATATGTGATAACCATAGTTTGGCGGCATGCTAATGCCCCGTTTATATCAGCACCAAACTTTAAAACTTCTATAAATCCATTTACTTACTTTCATTGTTATATTTTATCAAGTTTAAATTTGAGAAGTATTGATGGACATTTCAGTTAATACCCCCTTCCATGTGATGCCATGTGTAAAAGGATTTTCAATTTTTTTTCGCTGACGTCTACATAGAGTGGTTAACAAATTATTCTCGAATTTATATCATTTTCCTAGTTAAACGATCAAAACCAATATCACCCCATGGAGCCTTCATTTATTTTGAAATCGAAACCCTATAATGTCCAAAATACTCAATTGTGTTATAAGGCATCACTAATAGCTAGGGTGGCAATTTATGACCCGACCCGTTGACCTGACCTAACCCGACCTGTTATAAATGGGTATGGGTCACTTTATATGGGTCGGGTCATAAACGTGTAGATCCAAGGAACCCATTTATTTATCGGGTCATAAACGGGTCAACCCGCCAACCCATTTAACTTAAAAATATCTATCATTCAACTGTTAATGATCAAAACTTTTAAAAACACATCCATAAAATATTAATACTTATAAACACTACAAATCCAAAAATTACATACAACACACCACATAAATATCAAAACTTATAAATAGTAAAAAATTTATAACTTATAATGGCAATTTGAAAATTTGGAGCTTGCATAAAACACCCTAAAAGTTTCAAAATTGCAACATACACCCAAAAAGTCAAATTTTGCAGAAACGCATGCCAGAAATATGAAAATTTACAAACATAAAAAATCTATAGCTTATAAACAGTTACGAAAAAATTATGATATTTGCAGAAAACACCCTAAAGATTTAAAAATTACAAAAAACACCCTAAAAATCCAAATTTTAAAAAAACTAAAAGTCCAAATTTATAAAGATTATAAAGTTTATAAATTAGAAAAATTCAACTAAGAAAATGATATTTGCAAAAACACTATAACTTTTAAAATTTGCAAAAACGCCCTCACAATTCAAATTTTATAAAAAACACCCTAAAAATATCTAAACTTATAATCAGTACAAAACCTATGAATGATAAATAGGACCATAAAAACTTTGACCATGGACTCTACGTTAAGTACATGAAAATTATAAAACAATTAAATTGGCCACTTGGGACCTTGGGTCGGTGGGTAACCCGTTTAATAAACAGTTTGACACGATTATTTGATGGGTCGGGTCGGGTCAATATTATACAAGTCGAGTCAAAATTTATATGGGTCCGGTCGGGTGGGGTCGACCCATTTGCCAGGCTTTATTATGTATGGATAAACTCATAACTCTCACAGTAAACTCCAAATACTTTTCCAAAAGTGTAATTGTCCGGCATCCAAGGCAATAGGCCCCATGGAGCTTTTACCCTTTTGTTATCTTTTCTTAAACACCAAACCAGCTTAATAATCAATCATTAAAACCTGGCATAGTCTCGCTGCTTGCTGCTTTTCATGAATACTATGCTTCAATTGTTCACTGGAGTTCATATGACATAATAATCTTCTCCTAGTTCAATGACGAAATATAATGCATTTTGTTTGATGCAACCATTTTCAACCTCACCGACTCAAAACAAGCTTTTAAATGTCATCTGTTCTATATTTCTGAATCCTTCATTTCAAAGCTAGTGCACAACTTTTTAATAACAAGAGGGATGAAACAAAGCTAATAATATTTGTTACAGCAGAGTATTAATTGGATTTCCAATGTCTTAAAGGAATGCAATGGAATCGAAGCTATGGGAAATTGAAGCAGCTACTCCAATATATATCCTAACCACAATCATAAGAAACATGTAGAAACTGTTCGACAAGAGAAGTCTACTAGTCACGTCAACCTTATAGAGTGAGTTGTCCTTCTCATGGGTGAGTGCTTACCATTCCTAGAGTGAGTTGTAACCTATCCCCTTTTTGCTATTTCATCCTATGCGGCATTTATGTAATATGCATATACAACTATTACAAAAAAGTTGTTCTCTTCAGTTGTATTTATATATTGTGTTAGTTATACCAATGCAGTATACACAGTGTAGAATATGACCAACAGTTCAGGATCTCAGCTTGGATCAAATGGGCAATTGCTTGTCATTTCTAAAGTGAGTGGCACCACAATCCCTCTTCGCCATCTAGTTGCATGAAATCAAACATTTCTTAGGGAGTGAATGAGCATTTGCCGTTCCTACAGTGAGTGCTACCTTATCCTCTTTTGCTATTTAGTTCCACGTGCATTATCTCATGCATCTATAACTACCAAAAAGATTGGTTTTTCCTCTTTCATTAGACCCTGTACTAGCTTATATGTAACGCAATGAAAACAATCTAGTAGATGACCAACAGCACAGAATCTCAGTTCGACTGACATGTGCAAAGACTCAAGATTAATTCTTTTCACGTAGATATCAGCTCAACTTACACACACTGTAAGTCTGTAAAGTGGTTCATATCTTACCTGTTAACATAGGCCACCAGTTATTGTATAATGCACATGCCTGCATCATCAAAGAAAGACATGTAAGATTAATCTACCATATAAATTAACCAATCTAGCTGGAGCAAGTAAGTAAATGCTTGACTAAAGCATCAAGGTCTGAGAAGTGCCAATAGAGGAGAAATTTATTCCCTTAAGAAGGAGAATGCTTGGGATTCGCTAACTTTACCTCAAAACATTTAAACCAGCTATCGAGGAGCAGGTTGATAGGGTTTGGTTCAAGGCTTCAGAGGCAATAAACAACAAATTTACTCCCTTTGAAAAAGAAGAGTTTGTAGGTACTATAAACAATTCAGAACTGTTTCACTACAAACTTACAATGGTCACTCACCAGAAATTGTAATACTATTCCACCAGAAACCATTATCGCCAAAATAGCAAGTCTTCCACTGTCTAGGCAGGCAATCAGATAGCGCGGCAAGCCTGCCATGATTTATGTGCCCTCCAACCTATGTAGTTTGTAACCTAAAACAATGCAGGGATATAATACTTCTCCTTAATTCAATTACCAAATAAAAAAACAAAACCATAGGCATCAATACTATTGCATTTCTGCATATTCCCATGACTATCAGCAGCCAAAATTGAACGATTGGTAGACAGAAATCTCAGGAAACCAAGAATTAAGAATAAAAAGGTAGCTTAGCAGAAGGGCTTACATCAAAACAATATTTTAATATATGACTTCATAAAGACATCATATTGCCAAATATACAGAATCAATCAATAAACACTCCACAGAAAACATGGATAGAGGGACATCATTTTTTCACTTTTTTGTCACTGAACTAAGCAGAAGATAGAAAGCTATGTAAATAAGATAATTGATAATAGAAATACAATTGCTTCATTTTGTTCCAAGGTATCTCTTCAGTAACTTGTTTGATACTGATGACCAGTGCATTTACATGATTCTGTTGTTTATCGTAGATAAGAAGCTTGCTTCTTCAAGATGTTACTTTTGAGGATAGTGGAGGGAGCGTAGAAATTGTGGAAAAGCATTTAGTTTAGTGGTTAAGCCCATCTTTATGTATTTTATTATTATTTTGAAGCCATATATGTGATCACATAGTGTCAATTGATACATGATTGGCACATGTTTTGAGTTCTACCTGACTTACATGTAACTTGTATTTTCCTATAAGATTTGTGAGATCCCTTGATTTGACATGGTTATTGATGAACAAAATAGTTTGCAGTAAAATTGATATACTGGTGAAATGCCAAAAGAAGTGATTCCCAAACCCTATCTCGAATTTATTCTCTTCTCTCTTGGCACTGCATCCAATTCCCTCCTCTCTTTCTGTTCTGCGCAACAGCCCAAACATCCAACCAACAACTGCTGCCAACTCCTAGTAACTGATGACCTCTAAAACCCAAAGCCATTCAACCTAACCTAAATTTTTCTGACACAAAATGTTACCAGAACACTCAAACTAACAGCAACCCAACACCCCCTCTTACTTTTCTAACAACAAAAACCCAACCACTAAAGTCAAATTCTCTCTACCAACCAGCCCCACGTCAGCCCTCACTATCTGCCAGGCTGCCAAAAATGTCATTCCTCTTGATGCCTACTCAATAACTGCCTGCACCTTTCTTGTGTCGTTTACGATTCTAAATAGTAGCCATTCCAAACTCATTTACATTAGGCCTCTCACATACATGTGAATTAATTTTGGATGCAGAAGAATATTAAAATCAGAAGAATATTATCATTGCTCTAACTTCTAAATTAACAATATTTTTCTGTAAGAATTATTCACTAAACTCGCGTGTTTTGCTCATCAAAGCAATCATATGGTGGTCTGTGAGAACTAATCTCTTAATGTCATAATACTATAGAACAAAGTATTCACTTACTTGAAAATGATTTGTTTGGAGAAGACAAAACCAAGCAGTGTATGATATCACGTAAAGCACTTTGTTCGCTTATGTCGATTTCTTGTGTGTTTCGTAAATAGTGTCTTATAGTCTGTCTCTCGTACTCACATGTGCCTTTTGGGATGTTCCGTTGAGATGTTTATCAAATCAGTAGATTTAAACCATTGTATTATCTCAAAAAACCAAAAGGAAAAAACAGTAGATTCCCTGTCTTACAATTTCAATCTCTGTTTAGAGTACTGATAGTATGTGAATATCTAAACTCTGATTCTCACTAGATGGATGAGGCAATTCTCAGGCATGAAAACTGAATATAAAGTGAAGGGGCGCATCATTTCTTGATAAAATTCGATAAGTCTTTGACAATTACACAGAACAATGAACAAATGCCTACGCCACTACAAACTAGAATCAATATCATTGTTACAGGCTTTCACTCACAAAAAATCCCATACATAAGAACATGAAATGAACCGATAATTTTATAGAAGTTGGGGATATCCATCTTTTACCGCATTAACATAAAAGCAAATGACTCAATTTTTTCCCCGGTTTGAGATGCTACATTACTAGTTATCACTATAGGTCCTCTTGAATTATTTCAAACTGAACTTTATAAGTAGTGATCTTAATGAATTTATAGCGAAAGTCACTTGACATTAGATAAAGCCTGAAGCTACCGCTTTGTCAAAGCTTAGTCTGTAAACAATACAAGAGCAGCAAAATTCTCGAATATGCACCAAGAAAATTTTCAAATAATTACAGAATTTAACATTTTGGGGTCAAAACCGAACCCAAAAAAGTCGATACTTTTTACAGTAGAACGAGAACTAAACAGGAAGTGTGATCTACGAATACCCCAAAATTGGATGCATAAAATATATCAAAAAAATAAACAAAGCAAAACAAAACAAAAGAGAGACTCACCGTTGAAGGGGATCGGACAAGGATGTGGATCGAATTATAATTTGAGGATTCAGAGAATTTTGGGGGTGGTCGACTGCCTCGAGAGATTTTGCAGCTGTCGCATGAAATATACTCTAGAGCTGTAATGGGTCGGGTTTCAATTCGGATCTGAGCTAGATACGATATGACGATAAGAAAGCATTAGATCCGATATCAGTTGAGGGGCTGTTTGGTTCAATTTCTATAAAAAAGAGGAAAAAGAAAAGTACTCAAAATTTAATTTTTTATATTTTTATAAAATTTGTAGGAAAAATTTATAAAACTTAAATAGTACCATATTTCTTGTTTTTTGTTATTTTTTTGTTTGGTTCAAAGTATGAAAAAGTTCCTAACTTTATAGAAATATATATTGTTTTCTTTTTCTTTTGTTTGGTTGGATATCACTTTATAGAAAATAGTTTATGTTGTGGTGTTTTCAGTCGTCAAAGTATGGCCATTTGCCAGCAACGAATAGGTGTCCACCTATATGCACCGCTCAAATCGAATTGACGGTCAGGACCACCAAGAATCCCGATTTAGCCGACTCGCCGAGTCGTCATCTATTCGCAACGAGACCACTTGACCAGTTATTCTACACCTCGCATGGTTGACTCGGAAGGTGTTACTTCTCGACATCCCTTGCTACAAGTCAAAGGACGATTTTAACCTCGAACCTCCCCCCTGACAGCGCGTCAGCATCACATTAAATACTTCGCATGCACCATCATTTCTTCATCCCCTACACTATTTATGACACATCGGGCCACGCCGGCTTCGTGCGCCACCCATCGCATCTCATTAATGGCGAAATGATAGCGCCCATCACACACTCGATCCACAACCGACACCTGTAAAGTAGATGCTGACTCAGCCGCCAGCTCAGGCTCGGCCAAAAAGACTAGATCACCCCTCTTGCTTCGCTATAAAAAGGAAAACTATTCCAAATATAAGGGTAAGCAATCTCTCAGAATTCTTCTCCGCTCCACTATACTTAAGAACTCACACAAATCATCACTTCCCCACTTACGTCCATCACTGACTTGATCGTCGGAGGAACAAGGGGGGAACTAGTCTATGTCCTCTTACATGTTGCTATTTGTGGAGGAAGAAGCTGCTCAACTCAAAACCAGATATTCGAGAAAGTTAGCGGCCTCTAATCAACCTCAGCTCACCCCCATTACATTAACTGTGTGATTATTAACATCAACAGTTTGGCGCTCACCGTGGGGTCTCTTTCTTTTTTGAGCAAATATGTCTGGTTCTGAGTATAATGATGATTAGTCTAACCCTAGAGGACCGCACTAGAGCTACTTACTCAAGCTCGGCTTGAAGAAACAACCCAACTCAAAATCAGATATTCAGAGAAGTTAGCGGCCCCTAATCAACCACACCCTATTACATTATCTGTGTGATTTAAACCATCAACAGCTTACTAACGATGCCCATGAGAAATCACATTGGAATAGTACTGATGTACTTAATTAATTTTTTAATATATGTGTCAGATTTCCTTGCAATTTTCGCCCATTTAGAGAGGAAGTTGATTTCTATAAAATAATACATTTTCCTACTTTATAGAAAATATTTCTATAATTTTTTTGGAACCAAACACAGTTTATAGAAATCTACAGAAATCTATTATTTACGATAACGTCATTGTCAGGTGTTTTCTCAAAACTTTTTCATAAAATAGGTGAACCAAACAGCCCCTAAGATTGTTGTTACTGCACTAATAGACCGCACTTTACTATTTTACATTTTATTTCTAAAAGTAAGATTCAGATCCTTTTTAATTAGGCGGTAGTTGAAGAGTGTCAAATTACCTGAATTATATCCCTCTATTTCATTTCAACGGTTAAGAGGAAGCTACGTAAGATTTCAACTATCACAATGTCGATCTTCCCAATAGTGATTCTAAAAATAATAGTGGTTTTGAAGATAATATTTAGAGTCTCACATGACTTTATCTCAATCTTTGAAATTGGATAAAGAGTAAAGATTGAAATAATTAGACAATTTCTAATTACCACCTAATTGAAGAAGATCTCAATCCACACCGGATTCATAAAAGAGAAAAACTAGGGTGAGGAAATATAAACGAAGAGAATACTACTAATAATAATAATAATAAACCCGTTATATGCAACGATAGCAAGTCTTTTCTCACGCGAAGGAAAGGTGCTAGGATATGTGATTTTATTTGGGGTTGGCCCATATTTGAGAAGGGGTAAAAATACCACTAATCCAATTGATAACTATGGCCGTTTTATATGCCCGTATGTTTTTGAATGTTGATGCTTTGAGCAGAAACTTTGTAAATATTGATCTTGAAGAATAATTTTGTAAAAAATAATGATTATAGGGCTATGTACGTGTACAAAGAACAAATAAGTATTTCCACTGGATCTCTTTTTGCTGGAAGAGAGAGTTGACAGGCTTTCGGTGAGCTCGGAGCAGTAATCTCGTCATTTAGAATTAGAGAGCTCAAGTCCCATTCATGGCCCAAGCTTTGGTTCCACCGGACAATATTCTACCGGAAGAGAGGATTTCGGTGAACTCGGTGCGGTAATCTCGTCATTTAGAATTAGAGTGCTCAAGTCCCATTCAGGGTACAAGCTTGGCTCCACGTTAATGTCCTAATTCACACAGAGAAAACATGCATACATTCTATCATATAGTTGTGTGCTAGAAATTTAGGGTAAATTTCATAAAATACGCTCAAGTTTGGCTATTTTCAGATAACCCCTTACTTATTTCAATAGCTACGAAACCCCACATAACCCCGGATCACTTGGTTTATTCTACTAATGACCAGATGGGATTGTTGGAGCTTATAATAAGTTGCTTATATAAGCAACTTATTGTTGTGCGCAGCGGAAATTTCGACAGCACTTCGGCAGCACAAAAAGAGATTTGATGACAACGGAAATCATGTTTCACAAAGGAAACAAGAACCGAAAGCAAAATAACTCAACAAAGTGAGATATCAGCTCTTCCTCTCATCAGTTCTAGGACTGACTTGTCGAGGGAACCTTCAAGCTATACAAATCGCAGCAAGAACACAAATTTTACGTTGTTCGGCAAATTGCCTACGTCCACGGGACAATGAGGGGGAGATATACTATTAGAGGAAGAGATACAATTAGGGTTTACAATCTCACAACCTAAACCCTCTCACAAACTCTCAGATCTCTCACACAAAATCTCTCTCAAAAGTACAAAAGCCTGTTTGCACGAAGCCAAAGAAAGCCGCTGACTTTTCTCCAGCAGCCGCACTTTTCTTCTTCTCCTGCGCAGCTCTGCAGCCGCCTCTTTACAATTGCTCTCTGCTTTTCGTACTTGCACTTTGTCAGCCATCCTTTGCTCAAACTTCACGAAAAACCCTAGCACTGTTATTTATAGGTTGCAGTTTTCTTTGTGGGCCTTTTCTGCACCTGCGAAAGAATCCCCTCACGCGTTGAACTTCACGTGGCCTGGCCCACCACGGACTGTACGCCACATCTCTTAACGCTTTTGATCTCTTCACGTGCGCAGCTCGTGACTTTGGGTCATCTCCTCACGCGGTTTAACTTGTGAGATTTGACTTCAGGATGCACAATCCCTTCACGAGGCCTTTTCACGCGTGGGTTGGCCCCACCACGCCATAATTCTTCACCTCGGCGAAGTTTTCCCAAAACTGAGTCGACACCAACCAAATCAAATGCCTCACTTATTACGTCCAGTACGAAGTGAAACGATTCACGACAACGGACTCAATCCACAATAAGTCGAGACCCAAATGGGAGTGCAAACACTCTTCCAAATGTTGATGTCTACTCACCAAATCGGTTGCATCATAAAGACTGCCTACGTATCCTCTTACCCAAGGAATCAAGCCTAACGTAGTTCACCCAAATGGCCTCCAAAGGCCTCAATCTACTAGAAGAGTTCACAACCCTTCTCCAACATCACGATCAAGTCTAAGACTGATAGCACCTCCAATGGCTCCAAACTGAAACAATCCAAACATCTCCACCTGAGATGAACCAATGGCCATATCCAGACTCCATCTATCAGCTGTACTCGAATCGATCAACATATCATCTGCATCCAAATCAACACTGTTCCTAATCTGTGTCACATCAGCTGGAATCCCAAATGATACAGTATGATCTGGAGTCTCCACCCAACGTGGAGTAGCATCACTCTCCACCCGCTGTGATGTCTCAAAGATCTGATCACCACTCTCCACCTGCCGAGAGTTAAACGTGACATACCTGCTCAGAACAAAGTTAGAAGCCAATAACTGATAATCAAACACACATCTGACTCCCAGATGTGCTATCGGATCAAATCTCACATCCACGATGTGACCAAGTACTGGGTAGTCAAACATCCGATGTAACCCAAAATCTGAAGCAGCTCCACCATATCCTATATCTCTACATACAGTAGTCGACAACCTATACATAAGATAGCCCAAACATGTCGTAGCCCGCACACCAATGCTAATGCTCGACATCAAACACCGATCCTCCTCCAGAAAAGAATAGCTCCCCAAATCCGTCATCTCATCACGTCGCCTCAAAGTTTCCATACCAATGAAGTGTCTCCTATTGCCGTGAGCTCGGCACAAACGTAAGAAAGAACCCCTATCATAATCAGAACGTCGGGTTATCTTTCTACCAACACGCTTCCTCCATCTGTTACGGGCTTCTAGGACTTCACACCAACGGGACTTGGTTACAACTAGGCCTGTCCATCCGGGCCGGCCCGGTCCGGAAATCCGGGCCCGGGCCAGGCAAAACCGGAGCCCGGACCCGGACCCGGGTACCCTGGGCCGGGTCCGGGCCCGACCGGGCCGGGTTCTGGGCTGGCCCGGCTGATTTTCTTTTTTTAAAATTTTTTTTCCTAGATTTTATTTAAAATTTAAATTATACAAAAAAAAGACAAGAAAAATTAATAAAAAACAATAATTTTATTAATCACTTAAAATGACATAAATTATAAATAAAAAATTATAAAAATAAATTCTTTATTAATAATTAACAAATCATTTACAAATTATACACACATATATTATACATATATAAGAGAGAGTATACTTATATAAGAGGGA